CCTTAGATTAGGCACTGGTTTAGAACGTCACTTCCATTTGATCTCTTTCTTCTCATCTCATCCCAGCAGAGTTATTGGGCTAACTGCTCAGATAGTAATAAGCCAAGCAGATTTTTAAAAATTTTTTATTTGTTCTTTTTTGATATGAGAGTGTATTTTGACATGTCATACATACACAGAATATAACTCCTCATTCTTTTTTTTAAAATTTTTTTTCAGTTGTACATGGACACAATACCTTTATTTTGTTTGTTTATTTTTATGTGGTGCTGAGGATCGAACCCAGAGCCTCACACATGTGAGGCAAGCACTCTACCACTGAGCCACAACCCCAGCCCCTATAACTTCCCATTCTTTTGATTGTACGTGATGTGGAGTTTCACTGGTTGTTATTTATATATGAACATATGAAAGTTATGTCCGATTCATTCCACTGTCTTTCCCATTCCTATCCCCCTCCCTTCCCTTCATTCCCCTTTGTATAATCCAATGGTTTATTCTTCCCTCCCACACTTATTGTGGGTTAGCATCCACATATCAGAGAGAACATTCTGCCTTTGTTTTGGAGGGGATTGGTTTATTTCACTCAGCATGGTAGTCTCCAGTTCCATCCATTTACCAGCAAATGCCATCATTTCATTCTTCTTGAAGGCTGAGTAATATTTTATTGTGTATAGATATCACATTTTCTTTATCCATTCATCTGTTGAAGGGCACTAGGTTGGTTCCATAGCTTAGCTATTGTGGATTGAGCTGCTATAAACATTGATGTGGCTGCATCGCTATAATGTGCTGATTTTAAGTCTTTTGGATATACTGAGGAGTGGGAAAACTGGATTAAACGGTGGTTCCATTCCAAGATCTCTAAGAAATCTCCATACTGCTTCCCAGAGTGGTTGCACCAGTTTGCAGTCCCAACAACAACTTATGAGTGTACCTTTTCTCCCACATCCTCGCCAACATTTACTGTTACTTGTATTCCTGACAATTGCCATTCTGACTGGAGATGAAATCTCAGTGTAGTTTTAATTTGCATTTCTCTAATTGCTAGAGATGTTGATCATTTTTTTTCATACATTCGTTGACTATTTCTTCTGTGAAGTGTTTGTTGAGTTCCTTTGCACATTTATTGATTGGGTTATTTGATTTTTTGGTGTTAAGTGTTCTGAGTTCTTTATATATCCTGGAGATTAATGCTGTATCCCAGGTGCAGGTGACAAAGATTTTCTCTCTCTTCACGTTTTTGATTGTTTCCTAGCAAAGCAGATTTTTAAGTTGTTTTTTGTCTGTTTGTTTGTTTTTGTCATGTGCACACAAGCACAATTAACAATTTCTCCGAGTCAACGTAGTGAGTTAGCAAGGGAAAAGATACTGCTGTTCAACTGATGGTCCTGAAAAAGAACAATTAGTTACTCTCCCACTCCTGTTGTTCCCCCGCGCACAGATTCAGACCCAGATTCCACATTTGAGTCAAGGGAACTGTCACAGTGGAGACCCACTGATCTTGAGGTGGGTTACTTTTTCATTGACAAATGACATCCCAACCTCTGGATACACTGCACCCTTTTATCAGTTGATGGACATTTGACTTATTTCCACTTTGGAGCTGTTATGAATAATGTCGTGTGGACATTCTGGCACAAGTTTTATGTAACCAAATAGTATGTCTCTCCCATATGCATCTCAGGGGTGGAATCGGATCCTATGATGCCTCTGTGTATGACTATTTGAAGAACTGCCAGGGTCTGTCTTCCAAAGTGGGCACTCCATTTGACGTTCCCATGGACCACATATGATCCCTGCAATTTCCTCACATCCCCGCCAACGCCTGTTAAGACTGCCATCCTGTAACTTGTCTGGTGTTAACCTAGTGGATGCAAAATGGGATCTTATTGTGCTTCCTTTCTTAACTTTAGATCCGGGTAATTTCTACTCATGTTCAAGCTGCAGAGGAAGGATGGCTCTCACAAGGGAGGTTTACCCGGACCCTCCCACCCCCAGACTGGGCAAGGGCTCCTCTCAGAAAATCTATCATCTCTCTGTAAAGGAAATAGCTTCGTTCAAGCTAAACAGAGATCATTCCATCTCCTTATTCCTCACCCCACCCCAGCATCAGCCATTGTGTAAAGCATAGAGTTGCTGACTGTCAAAAAATGTGTTAAGTGAATGACATTAAACACAGAGAAAGGGTGTGAACTCCGAATCACCTGTTTCAGAATTGACATGAGTACCTACCTCTTCAATCTCCCTCATTTTTAAATATTCCTACAGGACAAATTGTTGAGGAATATTTCCGTATACCCAGCAAGGCAGAAAAGGGGCTCTGCCAAATAACCACCTCCTGAATTTTACTGCAGCTGAACACCTCAGTGTTTGTTAAGGAAAGGACTGTGGACAAGCTCCATAGCCACAAGGAAAATCAAAAGGACTTTGTAGATAGTTCTTTCTTTAGTAAAGCAGTAAACAAACAAACAAAAAAAAAATGAATGCTTTTAAGAAATAAAGAAATTGGCTGGGCATGTTGGTGCACACCTTTAATCCCAGCAGCTCAGGAGGCTGAGGCAGGAGGATGGTGAGTTCAAAGCCAGCCTCAGCAACTTAGCGAGGAACTAAGCAACTCAGTGAGACCTTGTCTCTGAATACATAAATGAATGAATAAAAATTTAAATAAAATTAAATTGAATTAAAAAATGAAGAGGGCTGGGGATGTGGCTCAGTGGTAAAACACCCCTGGATTCCATTTCCAGTAGGAAGGAAGGAAGGAAGGAAGGAAGGGAGGGAGGGCAAGCCAGACATAGTGGTCCATGCATATAATTTCAGTGACTCAGGAGGCTGAGGCAGGAGGATCACAAGTTTGAGGCTAGTCAAGGACCCAACCAACTTTGTGAGACCTTGCCTCAAAATAAATAAATAAATAAAAAGCACTGAGGATGTAGCTCAGAGGTTAAGCACCTGTAGTTTCAAGCCCTGGTACCAAAAAGGAAAAAAAAAAAAGAAAGAAAAGAAAAAAAAATAAGTGAACTGGATTTTTGTCTGCTCTAGCTGCCAACTAGGCTCTCTCCTAGAGATTTCAGGAAGTCTGAAATGGGGCCCTTGAATGTATGCTAGAATGCCTAGAGTTTCTAAGGCCATTAGTCCACAGGTTTCACTTTGAAAAAAAAAATTCCTGCGAGTTAATGTCTTCATTACTTAATATAAACAGGTTAACATAGATGTTAAAAGGTCCGACTCTGAACTCAGAAGCAGATTTAAATCCCTGGCTCAATAATCATGAGCTACGTTCCTTAGGAAGAAGTACCTGACTCTTGTATGCCTCGGTTTCCTCATCTGCAAAGGGAAAGTGCAGTTAAGTTACTACATTATCAGGTTCATCATGGGTATTAAATTCAATCATGTATTCAAAACCCAAGTGTTTGGTGCATAAGAAATGTTCCAATATGTTAGTTGTCATTATCATTATTACTTAATCATGACCATTGCTATCTAAATTGGAAGAAAATGTGCACAACAATCTATTTGAAAAAGACCAAAATTTGCTTAGTAAAAAAAAAAAAAAATTCTAAGGATAAGTTGTGAATTTCCAGGTGCATAATTTACCAAGTGATGCTTTATTGATATAAATAAGCCTCCTTCATGTTTTTTGTCCAGGTGCCTCCCTCCTGGTCCTTTCTGGAGAACTGGTTTCTAGACTGAGTTCCAGTTGACCACTTTGTTCTAGTTCATGCCATAAACTATTGGATGTCACCTTCCTTAGGTGACATTGGCTAAGCAGAAACCATCGCTCTAGCATCTTATTTTTCTCTACCAAGCAATCTATTAAGCAATCTATTAAACTTCTACTTTAAAAAGATAGAACTTTCTTTTTAAAGTAGAAGTTTTAAAAGCCCCATCTAATTAGGACTATCAGACTATCAGTCATCCTGATAGACAGACTCGAGAATGCTCATTCACATTGGGGGCTGGGCTGGTGGCTCAGTGGCAGAGCACTTGCCTAGCATGTGTGAGGCACTGGGTTCAATCCTCAGCACCATGTGCAAACAAATAAAATAAAGGTCCATCGACAACTAAAAAAATTATTTTTTAAAAAAAGAATGCTCATTTACTTCTCCAAATACTGAGTGCCTAACAGAGGCTGGATTTGGGGGATACTGAGAAGAAAACCAAGATGCCCCACTATCATGGAGATAAGAGACTCATTCATGACCAGTCATTGCCTGGTAATGACTGCTGCAAATAAGATTAAACAGTGTGATGTGGTGGAAGATGTCTAAAGCAAAAGAGCTACTTTTTATATCATCATCATCATCATCATCATCATCATCATCATTATTTGGTCCTGGGGATTGAACCCAGGGGCACTTAACCACTGAGCCACATCCCCAGCTCTTTTTTTTTTTTTTTTAATTTTTTTAGTTGTAGATGGACACAATACCTCTATTTTATTATTTTATTTATTTATGTGGGCTGAGGATTGAACCCAGTGCCCCACACATGCAAGGCAAGCGCTCTACCACTGAGCCACAACCCCAGTCCCCCCAGCTCCTTTTATGTTTTATTTTGAGATGAAGTCTCACTACATTGCTTAGGGCCTCACCAAATGATTGAGGCTGACCTCAAATTTGCCATCCTCCTGCCCCAGCCTCCCCAGTGGCTGGGATGACAGGCACGCGCTCCCTCAACCAGCCAACGGAACTACTCTTGATCAATGCTCAGCCAAATCCTCTCCCAGGAGGGTGTTCAAGCTGATGCCTGAATACCAAGGAGACAGCATGGGAAAGATCAGGGGCAGAGTCATTTAGGGAAAGAGAGCTGTCCATGACCAGACACTCAGGACCATGCTTGGCATAACTGAGAAGCCCCCAAAAGGGGGGGCTGGCATGGAGGTTGCAATCAGGTGACAGTTCAAAGCAGAAGAGGAAGGAGCTGGGGGACATAGCCAGGGTCCAGGACACCAGAGCTGGGAGCCCTTAAAGAGCCTCTTCCTCTGTCCTGCCATGTAGGTTGCACCAGGTGACCTTCGAGGTGCCCACCTGCGAGGGCAAGGAGCGCCAGAAGCTGGCTCTGATCGGCGACTCCTCGTCCTCGGCCGAGTTCTTCGTCACGGTCGCCGTCTTCGCCTTCCTCTACTCTCTGGCCGCCACCGTGGTTTACATTTTCTTCCAGAACAAGTACCGAGAAAACAACCGGGGCCCGTTGATCGTGAGTGGTTTTCTCTTTGTCCTCTGGCGCTTCTTTGGCAAAGGCTGCAAAGGTGTCCCGGGGACCTAGGCCCTGGGGGCAGGGATGTGAAAGGAGATCACTTTTCTTTCTTCATCCAAACCTCTTGGATGGGGACAAGTGTGTGATGCCTGTCCCTCTCCTGAGTCCCCCCACCCCCTGCCTTTGGAAATGTGGCCCAAGACCTGCTGGAAACCCTTCTGAAATAAGTGGCTGGAAATCTCCTGAGAGGGAGGAAGGAGTGGTGAGGCTTGCTTTGGATTCACTTATGATCCCAGCATTCTGGACTTGGTCCTTTTGATCACTGGTTATGTAGACGGTATGATTTGTGCGAATTCAAAATGTGTTATTTCCTCTGTTCATGATAGTCTGGGCAGAGTGCAACTTACTTTAAGATGAAATTTGTTCTCTCTCTCTCTCTCTCTATCCACCCCCACTTTCCTTTGCTTTGTAGAATGGGCCAAGGACTCCTACAGGTGAAATCAATATAACCCAGCATATCCAAACATGGGCATGCATATAATCTAGAAGGATTCAGAAATTCTGATGAGCACACGGGCATGGGTAATTTTAAGGAAATAAATTTCGAATTGCCCACAGGGTACCGTGGCCCAGGCCTGTAATCTCAGCAGTTTGGGAGGCTGAGGCAGGAGGATTAAGAGTGCAAAGCCAGCCTCAGCAATTTATGGAGGCCCTAAGCAATTCAGTAAGACCCTGTCTCTAAATAAAATATAAAAAAAGGGCTGCAGATGTGGTTTAGCAGTTAAGCGCCAATAAGTTCAATCCCTGGTGCCAAAAAAAAAAAAAAAATCACATTTCCCAATCTTTATGTATATATTTGCATAAAATCTGTCTTCCTGAGAATGCCCTGACTCTGAAGACAGTGCTTTCTTTTTTAAATCACATTTAACTTTTAAAAAAATGACTATAACAAAACACTTGAGGTAATTAACATATAAAGAGAAACAGGTTTATTTTGACTCACAGTTTTAGAGATTCCAGCCCCGGGTGGGGACACCAAATAGTGAAAGTATGTGACAGAAAATTGCTCATGTCAAGGTCAGGAAGGAAAAGAGAGCAACAGAGGAGGGGTTCAGAGGCCAACAATCCCTTGATTTAATGAATCCCCCAAGATCCCACCTCCCCCAGGGTTCACCCCCCCGCCAGCACCACCCTGGAGACCATACTTGGAACATATTGGCCTTTGGGGAACATTGACTATCCAAATTATAATGATCGTCTACTCACATTTTAAAGAAAAGCATCCTTCCATACCATCCCAAATCTTACCACTCAGTAGATTTACAACACACTTGAGGCACTAAAGAAAAAGAATCATTTGAAATGTTGGTACTCTGTTGAAAAAGTGGGGAGCCTTATGCCTGGCTAATATACTTTTTTTGGACATAAGGAGATTTTCAATGTTTTGCTTTCAATAAAATTAAAAGTCCTCATCAGTTGATAAAGCATTAAAAAATAATTTTTGATGTATAAAGAGAAAGCTAAAATAATTCTTAAAAATTAAAAATAAACTAAAATAAATTTTGATGATAGATAACCATGTAATCAGGGCACATAAATTAAATATAAGGAAATTAATGATATTGCTATGACAAAAGTCCATCTATTCCCACCTACTCATTTATACAAGCAAACTTTGTCAACATATACAGCTATAACATAAAAAAATGGCAATCAAATCTATGCTGTATCATGTCCCATTCTAGAAAATGATGATAATATTTGCCAAATATTTATAAACTGTTTGAAGAAAAAAAAACAGCCCATCCAAGAAATATAAATTTTCAATGAAATTTTTACTTTTTAAATTTCAGTAATTATTTAAAGATTACTTATAAAATTTGTAATACATTTTTTTGTTTTGGAAAATTGTGCATTAATAATTCTTGTAATGATTGCCCAATCAAAAGGGAACTATAATACTTAAGTCCTTAGGATCATATGTAGTTAAAAAGTAATTTAAGTTTGTATACATATTTTTGTCACATAGAAATATAAAATTAAAAAACACACAATATAATAGAAATATAAATAAAGAAATATAAAATTCTTTCAAAAATGCTATATCTGTAATTCTGTGAGGGAACAAAAGAAGCAAATTTTCCAACTGTTGAAGAATTTATTTATAAATTTTAATGGATGATCAAAAAATCAAGTAAATATTGTGTTGTTTAAAAATTGAGATCACAGCTATACTTTTAAATGTCAATACTGAGAACGTGCCAGAAATTACAATATCCGCAACTATTAAAACTTTCACGAAAAACAAAATTAAGTGCTGACTTTACACAAGTAGTCACACAGTTTTTGGAAATTCTTTCAGGGAGCATGCAAGTAAAATAAATTTTATAAACCTCTAATCCACACATGATGGAGAACTGAACCTTGAAATAATCATAGAAGGATAACTGGGAGAAAGGTGTGTTTTTACAACTCTGCTTAAGTTGAACTAGATAAAAGTTCAGATTTGCAGCACTTTAATTGGTTAACTTAGAGAATATGGAGTAACAAAGAAGAACTTAAACATTTGGGTAGGGGTACTTTTATTTCATCCTAGATTGGAGCCAGTAGTCTTAAAAAAAAAAAAAAAAAAAAAGCTTTAACAGAGTACAGAGTCACCTAAGTGGTCTCATTTCTCCCATGATGCAGGTAGGTAGGTACATAGAAAAAAAGAGATGGCCATGCATATACCATGACCCCAGCATGCATCCATTTCCTGGGGACATGGAAACATTCTCAGAGAATTCTCAAGTCCAGGGAAATGCTCTGACTTCTAGAAAGAGGAAGCTGGCCCAGCTAGTTGGCCCATAAATGGGAAAAGATCTATTTTTATTCTATAAAACCCCATTCTGCTTCTATGAAATCATCTTGTAAAGGCATGCTCTTCTGTCTCTGTGTAAATAGTCTTTCCCACCCAGCAGGATCTAATGAAATCCTGAGTTGTGTAATACACCAGGTAGCTTTTGTTTTATTACATGCGGGGAAGGGAGGGACCAAGGTGGGGATGATTCTAGTAATAAAAATAGGAAAGGCTTCAAGATGAAACTTCTGCGATATTAAAAAACTGATGTGCTCATTACTTAGAAGATAAAAGTTAATTTAAGCCTGAGTCCAACAAGTCACAAGGCAGGCTGCATGTATCTGTAGGGATGTACCCTGTCAGTCCCAATCCCACCATGACAGGCTGTGATTGGGAAACTAACAATGCATATTTATACCTTTCATGACAAGCAGCAAATTCACAGTGTGAGGGGATACCTGAAGGGTGTCTCCTGCTTAAAACTTTCGACTAAAGAAGCCTTTGTTCAGATGTTAACAATACTTGTATTTTAACCCAATCCCATTTATTCTGAAAGATGGCTACTGTTCCTAACTTGAGCAGCTTTTGTTCTGATGACCATATTTTTCTTGTTGTTGTTCCTTTTTGACAACACATATACTTCTTTAAAATATTCTAAGCTGGGCACAGTGGTGCATGCCTGCAATCCCAGCAGCTTGGGAGACTGAGGCAGGAGGATGGTGAGTTCAAAGCCAGCCTGAACAAATTAGTGAACCCACTGAGCAACTCAGGGAGACCCTGTCTCTAAATAAAATACAAAATAGGGCTGGAGAACTGGCTCAGCGGTTAAGGGCCCCTGAGTTTGATCCCCAGTATACACACCCCCCGCAAAAAAAAAAAAAAAAATTCTGTAATTTGGGATTCTCTAAGTCCAATTTTTAGTCTGAAACAACAAAGTTGCCATATTAGACTAAGATAAACTAATTCAATCAGTTTTAAGAAATTAGGTATCCAAAGGCCAAATATGCGAATGATTTGCTGATGCTAACATATAATAAGGGGGGGGGATAATAGAAGTTCATTGAATTAGACAAAGGGGAATGAAGGGAAGGGAGGGGGGATGGGAATAGGAAAGACAGTAGAATTAATCAGACATAACTTTCTTATGTTCATATGTGAATACACCACAGTGAAACTCCACATCATGTACAGCCACAAAAGGGGGATCCTTATTAAAATGAGTGATACTCCATGTATGTATAATATGTCCAAATACACTCCATTGTCATGTATATCTAAAGGCAACAAATAAAATAAATTTAAGAGAATATTATGATCCAGTCATATTTTAAAAATTAAAGAAAAAGAAAGAAATTAGGTATCCTTCCAAAAATTAACCAATTCCCATTTTGATTTATAGCCGCTAGAACAAGAAACTATACATCACATACAAATAAGACTAATGACAGCTGTGATAATAATAATAACTGATATTAGCAATATCAGCTGTTAATGCTTGGCTTCTACTATGTGTTGAGCTGATTTAATAAAACCTGAGTTTGTATTATTTTCTGCATTTGTAGATGAGGAAAAGGAAGCTTGGAAAAATTGTCAGCTCTCATAGGTCACATGACTTAAATAGGCAGAGGGCAGTGTTTGGACCCAAATCCAGGGCCCAAAACTCCTGCATGTCAGAGGGTCCCAAATCCTATGGACAGTGTGCTACAGAAGTTAGAGGGGGTGAATGTACATAAGGCGAATGAGTTTGTACACAGGGACATTTTCTTATTCTGGGAATAGATAACTTGCACCCCATGTCACCTGGGGTCTTCTGCTCATTTGACAGTCACAGAAGGTTTTTAATTTCCCATCAAAATCCACTTGGAGTTACAGAAAGACTGCCACGAGTCTATGATGCTTGAACAGTAGGAAGGTTCTACTTGAATGGCAGATAGAAGATGCAAAGAGAGGAAAAACAGGCTTTAAAAATGGCCAAGATCAATGTATATTATGAATCAGGGATGACCAGGATTGGTTCCTAAATGTTTATACTCAGCTGTCAGCAATTTCAAACAAACTGAGGCTAAGCTTATCTGTTGCCAAAGAAAAAGAAAATTATCTACAGAATTCATACAGAATTACCCACCTTGAAGTAAAAATGAGAATCGGAATGTCTTTCCAA